CGTATCTTTATTTCCGTTACCGTATTTTTATTCTTATTACTGTATTCTTATTCTCATTACCGTATTCGTATTCTTGTTACCGTACTTTTATTTTCGTTACCGTATTCTTATTTTATTAGCGTATTTTTGTTCTTGCTACCGCATTTTTATCTTTATTACCGTATTCTTATTCTTGATACGTTTTTTATTTTATTACCGTAATTTTGTTCTCATTACAGTATTTTTATTCTATTACCGTATTCTTATTTTTATTACCGTATCTTTATTACCGCTACCGTATTCTTATTACCATATTCTTATTCTTGTTACCGTATTCCTATTCTTGCTACCGTATTTTTATTCCCGTTACCGTATTCTTATTTTTATTACCGTACTTTTGTTCTGGCTACCGTATTTTTATCATTATCACCGTACTCTTATTCTTGATACCGTATTTCTATTGTTGATACCGTACTCTTATTTTATTACCGTATTTTCATTCTTTTTACCGTACTTCTATTCTATTACCGTATTCTTATTCCCGTTACCGTCTTCTTATTTTATTATTGTATTCTTCTTCTTACTACCATTATCTTTATTACCGTATTCTTACTCTTGATACCATTTTTTAATTTATTACCGTAATCTTATTTCCGTATTCTTATTCTTACTACCGCATCTTTATTTCCGTTACCGTATTCCTATTCTTGCTACCGTATTCTTATTCCTATTACCGTATTTTTATTTTCATTACCGTGTCTTTATTTATTACCGTATTCTCAATTTGTTACCGTATTTTTTGTTACCGTATTTATATATATCACCGTATTTTTATTCTTGTTACCGTATTTTCATTTTATTACCGTATCTTGATTTTCGTTAACGTATTTTTATTCTTATTACCGTATTTTTATCTTCGTCACCGTATTCTCATTTTATTACTGTATCTTTATCATATCACCGTATTATTGTTCTTATTACCGTATTCTTATCCTCGTTACTGTATTCTCATTTATTACCGTATCTTTATTTCCGTTACCGTATTTTTATTCTTATTACTGTATTCTTATTCTCGTTACCGTATTCGTATTCTTGTTACCGTATCTTTATTTCCCTTACCGTATTCTTATTCTTATCACTGTATTCTTATTTTATTACCGTATTTTTATTCTTGTTACCGTATTTTTATTCTTATTACTGTACCCTTGTTCTCGTTGCCGTATTTTTATTTTTCACCGTATCTTTATTTCCATTATTGTATTCTTATTCTTATTACCGTATTTTTGTTCTTGCTACCGTATTCTTATTATCGTTATTGTATTCTCATTTTATTACCGCATCTTTATTTCCGTTGCCGTAATCTTATTCTCATCACTGTATTCTTATTTTATCACCGTATCTTTATTACCGTATTTTTATTCTTGTTACCGTTTTTTCATTCTTATTACCGTACTCTTATTCTCGTTGCCGTATTTTTATTTTTTACCGTATCTTTATTTCCATTACCGTATTCTTCTTATTATTACCGTACTTTTGTTTTGGCTACCGTATTTTTATCTTTATTACCGTATTTTTGTTCTTTCTACCGTATTTTATCTTTATTACCGTGCTCTAATTCTTATTACAGTATTTATATTCTTATTACCGTACCTTTATTTTTATTACCGCATTCTTATTCTCGTTACCGGAATCAGTTATTTTTCTTTTTAAATTCTTAACAATTTAAATTATTGGAGAAATATTGTACTGTTATATGGTCATTTTTGTGCAGCAATTTTTCCAGTTTTTGTACGCTTATTTGGCAAAAATGCAAATAGCGATAAATATTTATAATTTTTCATAATCTTTTATCCTACTTATAATTTCGTTGTCACCACCTTTTAATCCGATCCTTTTCCAGGTTTTGCACGGTCGTGTGAAACTTGCAAAAGTCGATTGTGGACTATGGCCAAATGTTTGTCGGAATGTTGGCGTGGCCATTTATCCTACTGTTCGATTTTATGGTGGCTCACGAAATAGTCATATTCAAACAGCTAGTAGAACTTCTATTGAATCTCAAAACGCAGATAATATTGTGTATCAAACTGAGAAAGAACTGGTTAAAATAAATCGTCTTTATAAGACTGAATTATAACGGATTATTCTAATAAATCGATTTTGTTTTCCTGTCCTAAATTTTAGTCATCCAGTAAAGAATGCAGAAATCCCTATTTGAGCAATTTCAAATTTTATTTTCAAGTTATGGAACATCATTATGGCTAGCAAAGAGATCAGAAAAAATTAAATACCGTATGGAGCAAAAATTTACCGCTTTTTCTGATGGTTAAAAATATTTTTACGTTGGAGTATTAATAATGAATACATATATTTCACTGATATGCATTATGTTGACCTGTTTTATGTGCCTTCTATTTGATTCGAATTTTTCTATATTCGTATTTTCACTTGCTAAAATTTCTTTATGATTTTCAACCTTATTCTAAGTTTCTCCTCTTCATTCTAAATAATTTCCTGTAGTTTAATACTATTTCATGCTTTTCCATTTATGCATAATTACATATTCCTATTATTCTGTAGAATGGTTATTTTTAAGATATACAGAAAGGATTTTCAATGCCTTTTTTCCATTGACCTTTAGATATTACTCAAAGTTTTTTTTACATGAAAATCATTGTTGATCTGTTATATCAATTTATCTTTTTTCACTTAATTTACCAGCATTTCCATTACACTTTTTATGATCAAGATTTGTGCAAGTTGATACTTATGACTAAAAAAAAATTCTTTTTCAAAGAGACCTTAGGCATGAAAATACAGAACGGAAGCAAGTTTCCGATTATAAAAACTATATATATATATATGGTTATAAAAACTACGAAGACTGTAAGACAACATCGGTCAAATACTAGAATAGTCACCCTGAGATACTATTTAACTCTCATTACAGTTTGTTATGTATGGAATTTGTCTAGGTATGGAAAATTTATGTATGGAAAAAGCCTCTATGTTAATTAATAGATTGGCGTAACAACTCAAGATGAAGTATTTTATTTATATAAGCTTTGAGAAGAAAATAGGGTAGAATACTATTCTTGGAGGGTCAGAGATCAGGCTGGGACAGGTAATGTCAACCGCCATTAACAAGCGTCTACCAAAGTTTATAGCTTTTTTTATATATCTCCTGATGAGTTCTTCGTACTACGTTGTTTCCTCTCCACTTTCAAGCTTGGAAGTCTGTCACTAGTTTGTTGAGAAATGTGCTATCATGTTTTGTTATGTCAACCAAATTAGGACGAACATCGTCAGATCAACTTTAAGAAGTGCCAATTATATCGTTCGAGCTGGAAATAAATTCAGTTCAATCCATTCTCATTCATTATGTCATGATCCACTACTCGGAAAATTCCACGAACAACGAGAAGTAAATCTCGATCCGAACGTAGAACGATTGTGATAATAATGATAAGGCTTGCATGATAAATCACTACCTGTATTCACGATCACACTTTTCAATTTGCAATAACCTGCCAAATTGGACTTCTATGTAGTCATTATTCAAGTTTCCTATTTTCAGAAGGAGATCATTTTGGACTATTGTGTCCCATGCCTTGCAGTAAACTTTACATTAAATTAAAAAGATTCTACGAACCTACAAATAAAATAAAAAGAAATACCTGCAAATAAATAAAGCTTACAATTAGCAATAGAATAACTGTTTCAAAAATGAAAACAACATTGGAAATGAGGCAAATTATGTTTATTCCTTTAGTTAAAAAATTTTCTTTTTAAATTCCATACTTATCAATTTGTTTAGCAATCATTTTCCTCGATCATATTGTGACGTCAATGAAGCCATTAGCAGTTTATATTGGAGAAAAGCATTTCTTTACATCATCTTCTTTATAAACTGTCGAAAATGATAATATTCAAGGAAATTTTAAAATCTGGCGTGATCTGACTAATATAAATCAGAAAGAAACACATTGAGGAAATCATCACGCTTTCTACACTATGACTGAAAACACTCGAAAAGTGGAATAAAATTGAATTCACATGAATTCAGCAGAAGTGATTGAGAATACAACGATGGTTTCCACAAAGAGAACGATTTCATTTCACTGAAAACTTTCAGCATTGTTTCACTTTAGAATATTTCTATAAAGTAGAGAAGGGAAATTAAGTGCTAAAAATATCAAATGGTAAATTATTTGAATTTCTAAACTGACAAATCATCTATGTGACACGAGGAATTCGCCATTTCTGTGAAGCGAACTCAGAGTATTTTGGTTACAACTTGCCGATCTTCAAAGTGCTAATGAATTTCAAACAAACATTAAAAATTCCAATAAACTTACGAAAATCAATTTTCTCAGATAAATCAGTTGGGGTTAGAATGAATGCTGCAAGTGCAGTGAGCAAGACATTGTCTTAATATTGAAATTATAACAAACCGTCCTCCGACTTATATTTGTCTAACTCTCCACTGGGAAGTGTAACCCAACAAATTTATTGAAGTTTCTAAAATTGATTCTTTTTTTTTTTTTTTTTTTTTGAATATCAGCAGCTAATCCCAAATAAATGTAAGTAGAATTCACAAGCTCTACTGTTGAATGATCAACAGAAAAGCATTATATCTCTCACTGAAAAAAATTTTAAATAATCAACTCTTTGTTTTACATCGATTTTCAAATCTAATGGCGGCCCAATGCATATGCAAGATCTAAACTAGAAACTAATTATCAAATTTTGGTAATTCAAATTTAAAACTTTAAATATAAACTTTTTAACAAAAAATTCGACATTTAAATAACATGACTTTCATCAAACGGAAGTTGAGTGAAATTTTTTATCACTAAAACTAAATTTCACTATAGTAGCATTAAAATTACCAAGACTACAGGGTTTCAACAATCTGTTGCACCGCAAAGTTAAAATCATATCCTCATTAAAATTCTGCTAATGAAGTATCCTTGTTAAGGACTTCACATAAAAACTGCAATTACAATATAGAAATAAATACATTAATATGGTGAATTCATGCCCAATTTCGTATTGAAGTCAAGCTTTCTTCTCCGTTGGTCACGATAATGAAGTTTGATTAAATAAAGCTTGCACAATTCGCTAATAACAATAATCACAGTTACCCAAAAAAATGAGATTATTATAACCCAAATGTTGCAGTCAAAAATATAACTCAACAATGAACCACATGAAAGATTTGTATAAGCGATCTGAAACAACATAAATTAAAGTCTTTTGTCTTCTCTTTTTCACCAAATCGTCCATCAGACATTTACTTTTTATATTTTAAAGTGTGGAATTCTTACAACAGGAAGTCAAAATCAGCAAGATCATGTGATCTTGCTGATTCTGATATAAATGACGATTTGTTTAAATGAATTATCATCAAGATGTAAATAGAAATGTTTCCACACCTGTATAAGAATAACGCAAGATGTTACGGCTACCCAATAATAATTATCCAGTGGATATTTCGCCCAGCAGTTATCACGAAAATGAACAAAACCCATTGATAACGTACATAAGTAAAGAAGCAACTAAAAATGGAGTCCAATTACACTACGACAACGATATAAAAATAAAATTTGGTAAAGTACGTAAGACTGTAATATTTTTCTTTTTTCCATAATATTAGCACCGCGTACTATACAATCTGTAAATTTAAGGCCTTTGCAAAAGTTCAACATACATAAAACGAAGCAACATGCTGGCCAATAATAACGGCATGATTAGCAGGATAAAACGAATAGTTGGAACTTCTCTGATATTCATACTTTTTTCTAGTTATCACAACCTGAGATACACAGAAAGAATAAATCTTTGTCTTAGACAGTTCGTTTAAATGATCTTTTATCTCATTTGTGAATTATGTCAAAAATAATTAGTGCTGATTTTGCCAAAAAAACTTTTTACTATATTGCACAAAGTCTGCGAAATATTTCTTTTCTATGATAACAAAAAAATCTGAGCTTGAACTTACGGTGCTATAATAAATAAGACAGACGACGAAAAGAGACGGAAGAAAATTTATTGAGAAATAAATAATCGCACGACGAATGACACGTTTCGGAGCTGAGGAAATGTTTTTCGGAGCTATTTCATCACGATTTACACCAGAGCCACGCGGTGAGGCCATCAGTGATAAGGCTAACACTGGTACATATATAATTATGAATAATAGGACCTAAAATATGTAATCTCGTTTTCTTTACTTACTAGAAATAAACCTGTGAATTGGTTTATTTCAAATAAATGAATAAATAGACACTCGGTAATTTTTTAAACAGAAGATTACTGAATATCAATATGTTCTGTCGCTAAAATCTTCATCTGTTCTCTATATAAGAACAAACCTGAAAAACGGATAAGACATTCGGAAGAAATAACAAAGCTAAAGTTTGCTGCAGCGCAAGTGCTGTCGATGAGAATATAAAAAATAGGAAGGAAGAACGAAACGTCTCTAACTGATGTCGACAAAATGAGATCAATGAAATAAGGTCCAAAGTCTAGAACAAGCATATAAAATGTTTCAAGAAGATGATAATAAATAAACTAATAATATTAAGGTTTTACTTTATCTGTCAATGACAGAAGTGATGCATAGAAAATTAAGTATGGTAAAGCATTATGCTTTTCCTATTTATTATTAACTAGGCTGTCAGCAGTTATATTATTTTTATAGGTTCTGTACAAAAGAAATGAAAACTAAGTTCATTATAAAATGTAGATTAAGAACTGTAGAATGTGTATCTACTAGCATTATTTATTTATAATCATTGTTTAATTGTTGCATTAAAATGCCTCGAATCTCAAAGGCTATCTTACTGGTAATTAGAATGAAAAATAATCAAAAAACCATATGTAAAATAAATACCTGATTTGGAAATACAACAATATCGCAACACAGTCCCATAAGCAATGTAGCGATAACTGATGATTTCAATCCGTTGTCATTCTGGAAAATTTTTTTGCTACATAAAGCAGGATGCTGCGGCTCAATAGTGATTGAACAGTTTGCCTATAATAAAGAAAGAACTATTAGAAATTTGCAAAATATGAGAAAAAGTTCCAAAATTACAAATTGAAATTATTTACCTGACCAAAGATATTGCTATTGAAATAATTTAACGATGAACCAACAACAAGTACCACTTCACCGTAATCCTAAATTGTAATGATGTAATTGAAATGTAACTTCAGTAACTGAAATATTCAGACAAGAAAACAAAACTGGCAATCTGTTTCCTTTAAAAGCAAAGCTAAAGCAGAGAACACAAGCTAAGCAATCCTAGAACGTAAGGCGCCTTCATTGTGGGACGAATCAAAAACTACGAGAGAGATACGGTCAGCCTCACACAATCTCTTTAATAAATTATAAAAAATAGAAACGAAGCCTAGATACCTGCATTATTTCAATCATTCTTTGACAAGAAAAATGGTCGCAATCTGTGAAAAGATTAACCAAGAGTGGCACATTATCAACATTCTCTAAGTGAGGACGTATATTCTTGATTCCTGGAAATGAAGTTTTGAGCTGATATGAAAATACAAGAAAATTCTGCATCTGAATCTTTTTTAAATATGACAAATTCCAAACTCCTATTCCATGCTTCACCTGATGGTAATTTTGCTTTGTTCGGAAAAAACTCCACGCCTGTTTCTTCACTATATGAAAACACTGAATGATGACTTTGACTGTTTTTTAATGAAGCTTCCTCCTAGTAAGAAATTCTCATTACGCACAAAAATTAGTGGTTACAATATAAAATTGGAAAAAAAAAACGCAACTTATGTTGGTAAACAAATAGTAGATCGGTAAACAAACCGCTTTTGATGATAGCTTTTTAAGCACAAATGACGATGAACATAAATTGTACTTGCTTCGATTTGAGATTTGCATAAAAGTTCTGAAGGGAAATATTCATAGAGATTGTTTACACATTACTCATGAACAATAAATGTTTTAACAAGAAATTTTGACGTTTTTAAATAATTAAAAAAATTCATAACACTTACACACTGCGATAGCTGACGAAATCTGAATCCTCACACCCTTTCACGAAATTACTAAGAATAAGTAATCTGATAATACCTGAAGATACTCCCTACTGAAAAGATAGAAGAACGTCTTTGCTCTAGTGGAAAATGCCCAGACCAAGTAGCTGAACGATGTAATGCTAACTCTGCTGAATGTCCATAAGAATATTTGTCAACATCAAAAACTTCGGAGTGTTCATCTGCAATTTCTTTAAATTTTATTTAACAAATTTTGTCCATTAGAAGACTATAACAAAAAACTGATTACAGATGACTGTAGTAGTCATCTGAACGCTATTCGATTACTAATAACAGGCCTAAGAATCACCATGAAAAACATTAAGTAGGTTGTACCTGCTTCAATTTTTCGAATATAATGGAATTTGAATGTAAAATTGAGTTGGAATAATGTGAATTCCATGCTTACTTTGAGCGGCAATAGGAAACTAAAACTAACATTAAAATTACAGAATTCCTTTAAGTAGTTATTTAGTATCTTACCTTCGCTAGCTAATGATATATGACAATTCCATCCTGCTTCTAAACCCAACTTTTCTGCAAAAACTCGACTGCGCAATTCATTTTCTTTCGAGAAGTAAATAAATCGAATGCAAGCATGATCTAATTGTTCCACCAATTGAACGACGTCACTTCGAGCCTTAAAATTTATTTAAAGAAAAAAAACTAGGAGGCTCGTATAACTATGAAATTTATAAATAAAATATATTAGGCAGTAATGATAACATAAAATAGAATACCCGTGCTGAAAATTTTAAAAAATTGACTTGATGCTGTAGGACAAGCAAACCACATAACGTTTGCCCATGCATTACTTCTTCAAAGCATTCATAAGCGGTATGCAAAGGTGACTGTCGATAAAACGCTTTCAAAAACTCCATATCAAGACTGACGGCTCTTGGAATTGAAGTCCTTTCTATAACTTCATATTTTTTTAGTAACGAAATATCAATATATCTTCCACTAAGAGTATTTGAAATCGTGCAGCCCACTGTTCGATAGCCAAGAACCAAACAGAATCTGGAACATTTTATGTTACATTCTTCCTGAGAAATAGATGAAGCACTCTTATTCACATTTTTAATTATCATACCTATCGCTCTGTTTTTTTTTTTTATTATTCAGAATTATTTTCAACCATTTTATAAAGCAAATATGTAATTTGAAGACCTATATGTAATGTATATATATGTAATTATATGTAATTTTAGAATTACTTTAAAAAGATATAAAACGCAAAACAAACACACAACTAAGAGTATTAATTAACAAACCCGGTCATTGTGTTGCGCTGATAAAAATCAAGGACGCGTTTATGTAAATTCGGTGTATACGGTTCTAGAGAATTCTCACACCATACATGAGTGCAAGCATTAAGCAGTAAATCAGCTGTTCCCTGACTCATCACATGGTAATACTTTGATGTTGCATCTTTCGTAATTGTCAGAAACGCATTTTCTAACGGCATTCGGAATTTCCATAATCTAAATTTTATCATTATTTATGAATCATAGGAATCGTTAGTATTACTGACAAAAAAGTACCACTGTTAGAATTATTTCAGAACTTGATTACAAAGTAAATGGATCAACATAGTATATACTATCCAAAATAAATACAAAGTGTTTTAAGTTGATATAAACAAAACAAAACAAAAAAAACAAAAACAAACAAATAAATGATAAACTGACTCATTAGCGGATTTTTCTCTTTGCAATCGCTTATAAAAGCCTATCGTTTTTGTATCTGAAGTATTAAACTTTTCTAAGACTTCGTCACCAATTCTGCAAATACTTAAGACTTATACTTCTGGTTCTTCGTCCTTTTTATGATTCAATAATCTAGTTTTAATAAAAGAATTTAACAGAACTCTGTAGTTGTCTAACACTCAAGATTCATGTCTTAAAACTTTGAATTTTACAATAGTTCAGTTTCATTTGAAATAACGGAAGCACTAAGTATTAATAACTTCTTTTCAAATAAAATGTTAGAGAAGTACTGATAAGTCTGTGAACAAACCCTAATAATTGAGTTAACGGACATAAGCAGTGTCGATTGGAAATTGCAATAGTGTTTGACACAGTTTCCGAAATACTGCTAATGTGATTAAGGAATAATGTATAATCTGGCAGTAAAGAGCAACCATTTACAACACTGCTAATTCCGAATGGCAGTAAAGATCCTTTATAGCTCTCCCTGAATTGTTACGCAAGAATAAAAAGTTTTACACTGAGATATGAAAGAAAAAATGTTGGTTAATAATAACATGCAGCCAACCATGAAGAATCATCGAAATGTACAGGGGAAGCTCCATTCGTCGTTAAATCCAAGATTTTTGGCACCAATTTTCGTTCCTCACCTTTGGAAAAAGTAGTGGAAATTTTTGAAAATTTGAAATACATAGAAAGCATAAACACTTACCATGAACAATTCTCCAACAAGGAAATTGTTCACTATAAGTGAAGAACAAAAGAAAATTTTTAGGAATTCAAGTAATTTTCACCTTCGTCATCAGCGTGAAAACATAGCACCTTTTCGATTGTTGCATTTGGCCATGAAAGTAGGCCTTTCTTGTCCAGGAAAGCACAGGATGTGAGACCACCGCATGTAAAAACGAAATCCATTGAAATGTGAAAATGACCTAGAAATAAACATACACGAATCAAAATTCCTGTTCACTGATTCTTCATATCTATTACTCTAAACTGTAATTACCTATAAAATAATGATAAACCGCCTTGAAGCCATTGATAACTGCTCCTTTTCTGCTTTTATCAACAAAAATACTAGCTGTGGCGGCTTCTGAGCTTAACTTGCTGTATCGCAGATTACAGTCGTCACCCAAAACAAAGCCCGAATTCCTCAACATAATTGAAAATTCCAACCAATTCGAATTTGACAATAAAATATGTGAAAATATATGGAAGTTTCCCATTCAAAAATACAATCGGAAAGAATAACGTTGGAACAAATTTCAAAAGATCAGTGTTGTAAAATCATGTACTGTGGCACGTTCTTCATTACGCAACTATTCATTGGAAGAAACGAAACAGGAAAATTTTCTGAGGCAATATATATATATATATAATTCCTAAGCATACCATAACTTTCCAACCAAGCAGAAGGACGGAATCATGGGTCCCAACACAGGAAGAAGAACCACTGATGTATCTACCAAGAAATGAACAGTGTTTTCTCTCGCCACAAAAAAATACCTTAAAATAATTTATAAAAAACGTTTGCATCGAACTTGTTTAATGTACTAAATTGTATGAACTTCCCGAAAACAATGTACTATGAGCATCATCGTGAGTATGAACGGTAAAAAACATCTTTCAAGGATAAAATGAAGTGTCGTATGAATTTCAAAATTCAACAAATTCGAATGTTTCTTGCGATGATTACGAAAAGCTGCGCGTATATGGTCAACAATAGGTGGTTCAACAATTTTCCACAGTGTTGATTTTGATGGAAGTATCTGAAAATAAAAGAAATATCGAACGATTAGAAATTAACATAACATTTGAAAAATTCTATAAAAACAAGAATAAACAGTATGACACAATACCTTTAGCAGTCGTGGTTTATCCCCCAAACCAATGAAGTCACCATGTTGTGATATACATTGGTACGGTGGCGATTGTCCAGCACGAAGTTGTATTATATCACCATCTACCAAAAGCATCCATGGCACATTCACTAACTAAAATAATGTTTTCTTATATAAGGGTTTTTTAAGTGTTTAATTCGTTGAAAAGTTTTTTTTTTTTTTTTGAAAAAATAAAAAAACGAGTCAGAAACTAATTAAAACACGGCTGTAAACCAAGAATTTAACACCATGCATCATCTATAGAAAAAATTACAACTGTCACAATGTTTTTTTATCCATTTATTCCAAAAGAAGTGAGTAAAACTACGTCGTCGGATATAGAACAGTGTTTTTCAAGTTTCTAACAATCATACAATGTGTGCCAAATGCAGCAAACGAAGTTACGGTTCCATATAGTTTTCATTAAGCAAAATTATATCTCTCTTCACAGTATTCAGATGGTTATATGAATGGTCAGTTCAGCAGAGTGAAGAAAACAAACAAAAAACGAGAAGAAAACACATTAAAATGAAAATAAAATTGCTTAAAATTACTTTGTGGTCTCTGTATGTCCATTGTAAACTGATAGCATCAGATGGCGGCGCATAAAGATTTTCATATCGGAAGTTCTTTACTTTCAGTGATTTTAGAATATCCAATATATCAAGGGCTTTTTCAATAATTGCATATCTTTGAGTACGATATATTTTTAATGAACAATATATGTTACATATTGATATAGTCAAGAATAGAAGTGATGCAAGCTGGTCGAGTAAAGTGCAATCTCTAAATGTTTTACAAAGTAACTTTTCGTTTGATATTTTTTTCAGGTTCTCACCAATCAATTTTTTTTTTTGGTAAAAGATGACTTGTGGGACAATCGAGAAAATAGAATATGTAATAAAATAATAGAGTCAACAAACCTAAGCAAACTGCAACTTAACAAAACAAGACAACAAATAATTGAAGCTACCGCATAAATGACACAAAAGTTTCCGGTAATCAATGCATCATGAGCTAAGAACCTGAAAAATATTGTACCTATAGTGAATTAAAGAGAATGATGCGAGCTGGTCATTCATCAAATCAAGTTTTCTGCTGGTGGAGATTGACTTATTTGCCACCAGATCTCGTACAAAATAATATTCCTCACGTGACCACATCCAGCAATAAGCTCAAACGGTAAACTAGAACATTCTTCACAAATATTTCCACCCTGTCCATTATTTAAATAATACAGTAGTAAGTTTAGGAAAAGAAAGAGAGGAGCTTAGGATAGTCAGCAAGACAATTTTGAGTCTCAGAGGAAATTATGAAAATCAACAACTTAATAGCGAAACCAAAGACCCCAGCTTACTTACACTCCAACGAGAATACTGGCATCACATTTCACTTTCTAAAGCTGGTTTCATTGAACCAACTAAGAGACAAATGCAGATCAGATTTAATATTAACTGCAGTGATACCTAAATGTAAATGGTCCACCTGCACGTTCACGTTCCTTGTCAATTTCAAATTCTAATACAGCGCAAAGCTTTGCAAAAGCTTCCTTCGTACTTAAACCAATCTTCACATCCATTGCCACTTCCAAAAAATCTCAGAAACATCATGTTTAATATACTTCTTTGCTTACATGCTAAAGCACATCGACGAACATTATGGCTCATGAATAGCAACAAAGGCACTGGACCTATATCTGCTGCTATTTATAAATAACGCAGCGGTAAGTTTGAGAAAAAAGTGGGGATTTTCGGGATTGTCAGTAAGACAATTTTAGATCTCTGAGAAAAATCCATTATGGAAATCAACAATCCACTTACACTCCAATATGCACACTGACATTCCCATTTCACTTTCTAAAGCTATCAATCAGCAAAGTAAACAAATTAGATTAATGCAGATAATATGTAGTATGTGAAGCGCAAACTGACTCGGAAACTTTATGCTTCAAAAGAAGAAAAAAAAAAAACCGAAACAATTAAAACATAAGATCATTCCTCATTATCAACATTCACTGTTGTTAACTTTTTAAATGTCGTAACAGGAACATGTGTTACCAATGTGTATAGTCGATCTGTAGAACTTTCATCATCATTATGTCGTCGTGACAAACGTACACGTACACGATACGGAACATTTCTGAAGATTTTAATTCCACATAAATTAAAGACAACTAGAAATTATTTAAAATTTTCCAATTTTCAAAGATTTATTTCATTGTTTAGTTCTGGTCTAAACACATTCTTTTCTCTTTTCTTTTTGGATCCTTAACCTTCGAGAGCGTGCTAGACAAGAAACAACACTTCATTTGAACAAGTTCAACTTTTTAGTCTTTCTTCTACCTCACCACGACAGCAGGCACAGAAAACTTTATATATCGGGACTTAAATTAAACTTAGTATTCCAAAATATATAATTCTTGTCACAATACAATCAGTACTATTGATAATTAGTACACAGTATAAACAATTCATAAACAACGTATTTCGAGAAGCAAACTATTGGCAAGTCCATTTCACTCTTCATTCTTTCCGAAGTTAATCAAACTTTAAGTACTCACAATACTGCTACTTTACAAACTCCTTACAAATCTTCGGTATGATAATGCTTACTTTACGCCTTTCGACCACAAAAATTCATTCAGACGTATGTGAACGCGTACATCTTTTGTCCCCATCTGTTCTTCTGCAAATTTCCGTATCGCCTTGATAGCCTGAGGAGCACGCTTTTTGAAACCACTGCAACTGACAGCCTTTAAACTTAACAAATTTGGCAGCATTTCATGCATTCCTCAGAAATCTAGTACATTATAGGGCCATATCGTGAAAAAAAAAAAAAAGACATCTTTGTATCATGAAGAAACCTGAACTAGCTAAGACCTAATCAATATTAACTAATATATATATATATCGAACATGGGATACGACCACATGCAGAGCAATAGGGAAACAAAACAAATTTGTGCAAATTTTATATATACGAACTAAAATACATAAACTTACACTCCATGCAATCGTCGATGCAAATTAACAGTATACTCACGTGTTACCACTTCACTCATTGCACTTCTCGGCTTCCTTTCTTGTTTCGGTCCTTTCTTTCCAGGTGCCATCATCAAATGCCTGCAAAATAACCAACTCAATTCTATACGGAAGAAGACCGGCATAAGATTTTACATTTTACTGCAACACCGATGTTGCAATGTGCCATCTCCTACCGCTCTTTACTTTGTCTTGACCATGAAAAATTAGTGATAATGGTAGTTTAACACATCCAAAGAATCAAACGCCAAACCCATTCCCCCGCCCACCACGTTCACACGCTTACGCCACACATCTTCTGCCAAATAGCCCGCTGCAATCCCAAGACCTCGATTTTAACCCTTTTTTTTGCGGCCGTTAAAAGCAGAAGGAGGGAGGTATGCAAATCTACGTTTTACAGTCAATAATCTCCCAATGGTGCATGGTTGCATCTCTTCTGTATAACGTGTCAGTAAGTGAAGTGTCGTTGAAGTGGTTGGATGTCCTTTCCTTGACTCATCTACCATAGGAAGTGCACGTTTCTCGTTATCTGTGTGTTAATGAAGAGTTAATCACATTGCATATAACTCATTTATATGTCTCAATAAAAGTGGTGAGACTAACCATAAGGTAATCATCTAAAACAATCTAAAAATTTATTTGTAGTGCAGGCCCAAATTACATATCTTGTTCACGTTAAAATTAGATAGCAATCAGCTCTAAATAATTCTAAAAAAGACCTCAATAACCAGAAAGAATACAATTAAGTCCCGATAGAGAGTAAGCAAAGAGTAATAAGTATGACAGAATGAAATACTGCATACCAAAGGCCACCAAATTATAATAATTAAAATCTTAAAAGATTCAGCTCATAAAAGGCATATAGCAACAAATATTATAAGAGTAATAATCATCATATAGAAAAAGAATCCAAAATGTCAATTAAGATAAAAACTTATTTGTAAAAAGGAGAAAACAAATTTCAAAAAAAACAGAAGAACGACTACAGGGACAATATAAAGAAAAGCTTAGGAACGCAGAGATAAAGCTGAAAGCAATTCTATAAATTCAAATTTAAACGTCTACTGAAAGGAAATCATTAGCAGCTATGGCACAGTAATGCATAAATTAAATAAACATAATATCTTTTACCATAATTGAAATTAATATTAAAAACTGAAAAACAAATAATCTCTGCTATGCTCGAACATAAAGCAGTAGCAATATGAATTATAAAGATTTGCGCTAACATTGAATATTTAATTTAATCCAAAAAACAATGAAAGATAGGACAAAATTTATAAACTGAAAGTAAAAAGTGAGGAGTCAGCAAAAGAAAGCAATAAAAATTAATAACAAAAGTATAGAAATTAAATACAACTAGGCGACAGCAGTTTATGATTGAACGGAAGTGGTAATTTATGAAGATTTCTTTTCAGTTTTCATAATTAGTAACTGCAAAGAAAAAAATGACCACTGTCTTTTATGACAATTAAGTTATAAGATATTCTCTCAAGTTTAACTCACAATCAATGCAATCAGAAAATGGAAATGTGAAATGAGGGATGTACCATGCTAAATGCATACTTTCTCTGAATAGTTTTCAAAGTTTGTTTTGCTCTTACTTTTATTTTTAATTTCATTTGACCATTTTCTTCTGACTTGATAATATCAAAAATTTATCGTTTTTTTTTTTTTTTTACTTGAGAAAATATCACAGAAAGTATGGCTCTTATTGGTATTAAATCATAAATACATACCATTGAAGATGAATTCTGAAAGTCATGTGAATTGTGATAAAGATTAGTTTGAGTTTAAACTTTAAATTTAATACCTTATAGTTGTCAAATAGAATTTAAGAGGTATCGGATTTTTTAATGATCATAACTTTTGTGACTTTATGATAGATAGAAAAGGTGTATCGAAATTATAAACTTTTATCGTTATAAAATTTATTTGATAAATTGTATTTCCATTCTTTCAGTAAGCCAATAGCATTGGTTAAAATTAAGAATTTATTGCTTTTGAAGTTTAATTTGTAACTCCCACAAAAAAACATGTTTTCCAAATTGCTAGCAAACAGTTCCATGCAAAAAACTAAGATGAAATTATTTTCAGTTCCATTATTCTCCAAAATGAGATAATACTTTTTGGCTATTCTTTTTATTGTAATTAATGTAGTGGTAAAATTCCCCTTTTATCAGAAGTGTTTGGTCTTTTCTTATCGAACTTAAATTTGAAATTCAGATTCAAACCAAGGAACAAAATTCATAAGAGATCGTCAAATTTTATGTTTTTAATTTTGGTTTTCCCTTAATCTGTATTGTGACGTTTGTTTTTTTTTTTTTGAATGTTGACGTGATCGTAGCAAATTTCCTTAACAATTATGCTTTTTTAATTATTAACCACATCCCTTATGTCTTTCGAATATTCTTAACTTAAAGCGATGATAATCATTTTTGAATCATATTTGCCTAATTTCTTTCCGTCTGATCTTTTTCTACTGGTTCAAAGTGCCTCAGACAGTAACAGCCATCTTTTTAGGTAAACAGGAGCTGTTATCCCAGCAGCATATAAAGTGCATCAATTAATTCATACCTGTTACTTTAACTGGATAAGTAAACAAATTGGAAATGACTGCATATATTGAAAGTAAAGTCTGTCGTATGTTAATACATGCTTTAACATTTGGTCGGAATGGTACTTAACAAATTTTTTGACTTTTAAGTGCAAAAAAAATAGAAGAAACATGAAAAGAAGTATTGTGTCAATCAAGTTTTTTAGGTGTGTCTTTACTTTAGAAAACCATTTATATCGCCATCTATCACTATTTTCTTTTTCTTCCTTCCTTACGAATTCTCTAAATCTTTTCTTAATTATTTTGAAAGTAAAAAAAAAAACGCAAAAAGACAACAACGTTACACATGAGAATGTTTAACTTAACTTACAAATTAATTTTATTGTTATTATAAATAGTCATTATCAGTCCAAACTGACCCAGTACCGGATTTATGGATTCGGTTTGAGAACAAAAGGAATTTTTTTGGTATGCTAGACTTAAAGAAATACAAAATTTTCAACCATAAAAGAGAAACAAATAGAATTGATGATTTCTTATAACGAGCGTCTGCAACGCAAAATTCATTGACCTTGACGAACTATAAGATGTTTTCAACCTTTTAGATGACAATTAATTTACATTTCAGTCTTTAATTTGTTATGTCAAAGGAAAGAACATGTATATATATATATATATTTTTTTACAGATGAGAATAGAATTGCCAAACATCTTTTAAGGTTATGTCATTTATCCACCCAACATACCTCTCTGTTTCTCTCTTTTTTACTTTACAATTAATTCCATTTTCTATTGTCATTCTGCTTTTTCATCATTCTTTTTTCCCTTCCTTTTCTTTCTCGACAATTAATCAATAGATATCATTTTCATCGTAGACATAAAAACATTTTCTAATATTGAGTTTTTATTGCCTTCCACTCTTTCCAATTTCATAATTAATTGAATGAATAAATCCGATGATTTATTTAAGATGGTTTCGTG